GCATTTTCTGAGAGGAGAAAACAAAGATGCTGATCCTAGATGTGAGGCTCCTTTGAGAACAAGTCTGTTGCTTGGCACTGCTGCTCCTGCTGATCTCCATTCCTCCTGGAAGAATTAATCAGAGCCTTCACAGCAGCTTTTCCTCCCAGCAGTGGAACAGCCCATGGGAATCGGTGCTGGCTCTTTTGGGAGGGGTGGATCTTGCTAATGAGAGTGGCTTTTAAAGCCTCTCATTATGTCTGTAATAAGACAGCAGCTGAATAATTACTTCAGTTATAGTTTTAGTTACTTTATGTGTATTTGATACCGGTGTTCATAACCTTGTAGGTCTCTGCAGCGGTTGGATCTTCCAGTAGTATTCCAGACTAGGTTTAAATACATGGATGCAGACACACGTGTGCTCACAGACACGTGTGTGCTCTGAGCATGCGAGACAGCTCCAGTCTGGGAACTGCGTGGCTGCAGGGTTGTGCCTGTGGCTGTGCTTAGGGAGACGTGTGCCTGTCCCTGGGCAGGCTGATGTCTCACCAGCCCCTTTTCTTCCTCCAGGGTGAGCTGGGGGGCCAGGGAGGCTGTGTGGACTTTGGCCTGCGCAGGGCTCCGGGCAGTCGTGCCAAAAGGCTGTCAGAGCTGATGGGCGCAGGGTGATGAGGACACTGCTGCAGTCACCAGCCTGTGTGTGTCACAAGTGGCAGCTACAGAGTTTGCTTGAAACAATCCCAATTGTCTAAAGCCAAAGCCTCGTTTCAGAAGTTTATGTAATTGCCCCTCTGATCTTCTTGGAAGGCTGCATCGAATCCTCTGCTGTTGATACTGAGCTGCGAGGCAAATTGACTGCACCGTCTGCTGAGGTTAATGAGATTGACTGAGCGCGATTTGAGCATCAGCTCTCTGTTGCTAATAACGTGCTTCTGTTTTGTTTCCCTTGTACGTGGGATCTGCCGTGCTGGGAGAGGGACCTGTGGTCTGAGCAGATTGCCAAGAAGTCAATAATCCAGCTCCTGAGTGCATCGTGTTGCCTGTGCTCGCAGGAATGGAGGAGCGAGTCTTTCACCTCCTGCTTCAATTGCTCATTTACTTTTAAATAGCAACCAGCTCTGCATCGATTGATTGTTTTACTTTGGTTTACAGCATCCCCCCTCCTGTATCCCGACACAAGTGGAATAAAGCATTCCGTTCACCCACTCCCTCTGTGGTTCTGTGGGGCTGGTGCCATAGTGGAACCTCCCTCAGCCTGAGCTTGGCAGCAGTTACACCATCAACCTGCTCCGTGTTTTGGAGCCACACGTCTCTCATTGCCTGCTGCTCACCTTTCCCAGTCATCTCAGGGTTGGTTTCAGTTTCCCAAAGTCTCCTCCCTTTCCTTCCTCCCTGTCTGACATTAATCCCTTCTCTTGTAGAGAAGACTTCAGTAAAATCCCTACAAGGGTGATCCCAGCCTCGCTGCAACAGGAGAACCAAGTTATGTTTTGCTTATTTAGGAGCCTGATGGGATGATCCTGGCTCCTCAGTCCAAAGAACTAAAGCCTGAATCAAATTGAGGATGTTCCCTGGTACTAACGTGTGTTTTTCACCCATCTCATGAAGGAGGGTGGTTGTGCCCGTGAGTGGCACTGAAGAAGTGAGAAGCCAAGTTCCCCGTGTCCCACTCTGCCACCTCTCTCCTGGTTGTGTCCCTGCCCCACAGGAGGCAAGTGGCTGCATTTGCTGCATGGTTTAACCTTGTTCTTGGCGGGGGCTTCCATTGGAGCAGGCAGGAGAGGGCCTGGGCAGTGGGGAACCCTGTAGATGGCACTCACAGACCAAACATGCCACTGGCAGCACCCGCAG